GGGGCGGGGGCGGTGGCTGTTGTCATTTCATGTTGACAATTTATTCGATGAAGAAGAGCGTGTATTACCATGATGCATTTGACTTGTAGAAGTCCAGTAACGTAATCGAAGTTCGACCTCACGAGAGACAGGCTACACTCACTGGATTGAGACCCTACACCAAGTACAACATTGCCATAAAGGCGGAGAATGAAGTCGGTTTTAGTTTGGAAAACTCGTTGGTTCTTACAACACAAGAAGCTAGTAAGTTTTCGCTAATGAAGTATTTTACACCATTGTGGAAGGAGATATTGAAGGTGGTTGGCCAGTCAGTTGGTTAAAAATTTGTTTCCAATTCAAGACATGCAAAAATTGCCCTACAAAAGACCTTCATATCTGCTTAGGAGCTTTCTAAAGGCCATTTGTGCAATCTCAGTGTAAAATCAAAGATCACAAGAAATGATGTGCCAATCGATGGACATTCGGGCAGCAGCTGAAACAGCTGAAAGCGGCTAAAAAGATGGCTGGCTTCGGAAGGCGTTTAAAAGTATCTCCCCCTATCGAAGCGGTGATATAGGTGTGATATATAGAGTTTCCTAAGCCATTGCAGTGTATTGGGTAAACTTTGAACAAGAGTTAGTCATGAAGGATATATTGTGAAGTCTCAGAATGCGGTTTGGAGGGAGCTGAGAAAATTTGATGGATCGTTGAAAAAAATGGACAAAAACGGGTATTTTGGCGCATTATTGAAAGCCTCACGTTCGTGGTCGTAACCATACTTTCTATTCCTTTTGTCTATTATTATAGGTAGGAAGTGCAAAAATTCACAGGGTTTTAGCTATGAGTGACATAAAATGAGAGATATCTACAGTTTTAGTGGTTTAGTGGGGAATGCTGGGAGAGTTTGGAATAAGGTATTATTCAAGGCATAAAAAGTCTTACTGCAGTTGAAATTTGAAATCGTCAGCTTGCCTGCATAATCAACCTTTTCCATCTTTCTTAATGTGAGCGACGACCAATTTCAATCACAATAGAGGACATCTTTACCTTCATCCTAATAATTTGTTTCATCCTAGTACTTTAAAACACACTTTCCATAAATGTAACCAATCTCCTTATATCTTTAAAGAACCTGAAGGGCCAGTTCAACAGTTGAATGCCAGTGGAACAGCCTCCGACACAATCTACGTGGCATGGCAAAAACCGAAGCTCGAACTGCGAAATGGCAATGTGGATCGATATTCTGTCTGTTACCAACGCGTCAATGAGAGTCGACTAGTTGGTTCAAGCCAGGCTGATTTAGTGCGTTTACCTTGGCCCAGACAGGATCTTCAGGTCACCGAAGACTCGAGGTAAGTCTTAGTTAAATGGGCACCAAGTAGTTGATTCATTTATAAGCTACCAGTTCTACATCCCTTCTAAACTTCCTCGTTCATCGCTTCCTCAGTATTGCAAGTGGTTCGAGCCAAGTTTTCTGCTCGCTACATCGTCAACAGGACACCGAGATAACCGGACTCACAAAATTCACGGCCTATGCAATTCGAGTGATTGCAATCAACAGCAAAGGCCAATCACCGCCGGCTTACGTCTTAGCAAGAACCTTGGAAGACTGTAAGTCAGAATTTAGACAATTTCTGAAATGCTCCATCTAGTTTGAAATTCACCAGTACCTTGTATAAGTGAACTATAATGACTGTTATCTTCATGAAATGCATTTAATTGATGCTCTACTTAAATAACTTAGTAGTATTTCTAGTCTTATGAAAAATGAGGAGGAGGAGGGGACTAGTACTGAGTCGCGCCTTTATCTCCCCTTCTGTGCTTTTAAATATTGTTGATTGTGCTCCTTTTTTTCTGCAGTACCTCAAGCTCCACCGACAAATGTCACCTGCTTATCACAACAATATAGCATAGCAGTTTCTTGGGATCCGCCAAATTTTGAAACTGTTAATGGCATTCTGACCGAGTATCTAGTTAACTACTACAAAGCCAATGACTATGGAGGTAAGATGATGCTATTTAAACTATCCATCCTTTCTTCCTATATTACCTATATTCTCCCTTTTACCTCGACTCTTTTTTAGACGAAACTAACTCCGTAATCCAAGTTGTCCAGGGACAGACAACCGTTACCCTGGCTGGTCTCCTTGCCAATACAAACTATGTCATTCAGGTTGCTGCTAGCAACAGGAAGGGTCGTGGTCCTCTGTCACCTCTAAAGACGTGTACTACTACCGAGGCTCCACCGGAAGCTCCAGGTTAGTTGATTACAAGCTCGCTTTAATATTTTTTCTCTTAAACCCCCCTCCCCCACCCATATTTTGATAATGAGAGCTCTTAATTAACATTCTTGCAGACAACCTTGATCTACTGAAATGTTTTTAGCAGCGGTACATGATTCTTAACCCAACCCTTTCAGAAAACGTGAAAGCACTGTCTGTTAACGAAAGTTGTGTCATGGTCTCCTGGTCACATCCAAGTCGGCCTCAAGGACTGACAAGACGCTACTGCATAGCAGTCTACCGACAGGACAACCTCTATCGATCCTCTGGTATTCCAATGAATTCCGGACCTATGATTGGTTCCGGTTTAAATGCTGGACCAGTGGCCAGCCGTTGTGACAATCCCGACTTCAGCAAACCATATAATTACTATCTCTTTTGTGGTAAGCCTGCACCACCTATTTCTTGATGCGGAGTTATTTGTCTACATGTTCATATTTGTCATCTTATTACAGGTCTGAGTCCTGAATACCTTTACAATATCTCAGTAATGGCAAAGAATAGGTTTGATGGAAGGAGAGCCTACGTTTCTTCAGTTGCTCTAACTTCTCATCGTAAGTTTTCGATAATCTCCAAATTATAAATGTTAATCTTGATAAACACTAGTCTCAATTTTTTTAATTGTGCAGCTACCCTTTCTATAATTTCGATTGGCGGAACAATCGTTGCTGAAGAAGGAATGCGAGTTCTCATGGATTGCTTAGTTGTCGGCTACCCGTCTGTGGATTGGACATTCGACATCGTCGAGTAAGATTTCGATCAAAGCCTGCTACTCATAACCTTTTGAGTAGTTGTTCTATTGTTTAATATTCTTGCTTTTCAGTGATGTACAACAGCTTGACAACGGTACACTGATAATTGAGTCCGTTGAACCTCGACATTCTGGAAAATATATCTGTCGTCATAGGGAGGATTCGATATCTTACGAGTTGAAAGTTCAGGCTGTATCGAACGGTGCGTGTCAAAAGATAATCTTAGTAACATCTTTTATACTGCAATGATTTAAGTTTAAAAGGTTAAATTTCTTTCTCGTTCAGATCTGCCGAAGTCCCCTGTTGTCCATAAAGTCACACCAAGTCTTCGAAACATACAAGTGGAATGGCTTTCACCAGGTTCCCGTCGCCCTGAGGCAGCCATCACCTGGTTTCACCTTGACTGGACCAATGAATACACCTCTCTAAAGGACTCAGTACGACTACCCGCAGATAGGAGGACTTATTATCTGTCAAATTTGACATGTGCAACCACAGTTCGTTTCCAAATTCGAGCTGAGAATCAATTTGGCTTTAGTGTACCGACGGAGAATATTTCAGCTAAAACTGAAGGCTCTGGTAGGTTTCTGTTCACCGTTGCGTTCGAAATGTCATTTATATGTGGAGTGTTTGGGAAGTACGTTCCGTTTTAAGATTCAAAGCACAAGGGATTATCAGGGTTGTGTTACTGGTGGTGCCATTGCTCTAGCTAGCCACATGGGTCAAGTATTTTTGGAAGCATGTTATCTTTGGTAAGAGAGTTTCCGGGGGGGGGGGCAATCTGCTGTATGTAAATTCTCACGCGCAAATACGGTTATTCTTGTATTACAGCTCCTCTCCTTATTGGTGAAACGGATATGGTGCCAACGGAATTTCGTTTACAAAACTCTGTTACTTTCAATTTCTCTGTCTTCGGTCCTGGAAATAACTGCTCTCCAAGCGTCTACCGATTCAGAATCTGGCCGGCTGCTGACGGTTCTAAAACAAATCCAACGGGCTTTCAATCACATTCACCAGTTCCTTCCTCTTCAATACTCATTGGTGCATCTAGCAGTACTCTTTTATCATCACATGAGAAGGGCTCACCATCAGGGGCTTCAGTCACCCCCCTTCGCTACAATCTCTCTCTCACTAAGCGTGATCTCTTCAGCTTTGACGGCAAACCGTGGAATCGACGGTGTTGTTACAATCTCTCCGGTCTCCATCCCGGCTCCCACTATCACTATCATGTAGTGGCGGAAAATCCTGCGGGCAAAACACCGCATTCTGGCTTCTTTTGGACTAGAACTGTTGCAGGAAGTGAGTTAATATTTAATTCCCTATTTACCCCCTTCTTCGGTTATATATCTCTTAGTCTCTCTGAGAGGTACCGAAAAGTAGCATCTCGGAGCCCCTTTTTTGAGAAGTAGTCACATTCATTCGCCACCTTTAATCATAAAGTTTGATCACTTTTTTTAAGATCAGGAATATACGTCGATAAGCATCGCTTACCTCATGATCCGTGACTGTAGACAGAACTGCCACACTATAGGCTATATCTGAAAATTCTGCCGATGAGCTTGATTAACATATTCTTGAACTGAACTAAGCTGTATGCTATTATGTTCTCCACACGCCGTAGAATTTATATAAGCCTCACTACTGGTAACAAATGGGAATTCAAGTTTGTCGTCTGCTGGTTTTAATAATGAAATATTTATTTTTGTATCAAATGGCAGGCGTTTTGATGGTTATCATCAGCCCTTTAGTTGACTTCGGGCTTCACAGAGGGGAGTAACATCAAAGTCACAAGTCGAGGGGCGGGGGGGGGGGGGGGGGGGGGGGGGGGGGACAGAAGATTGACTAACAGATGTAAAAGCGATAAACACAAAGGTAGAGAAAAAGGTAAGATGAGATGAGTTCTGTAGAGGTTGTCGAAAACGACATACAGTGGGGTCATGGTAGCTTTAAGTCAGAAGTCGACTGCCGTTTTATAGACTTTGCCGTATGAGTACACGTTGTCCAGGATGCACCGCGTGGAGGTGAGTCTATCGCTCACCCTAATAATGAAATATAAAATAGCATTAATTGTGCGACGGACTGATTTAACGGGGGTTTATATGACCACACCTCTTGTGGATCACAGATTTATAGGGCATACACGGAGTAATTTATTTGGATAAGAATATTTCATCGAGGACATGGTGATAGCAGGACGTAAATGAATAAAAGGAAATCGGGTTGCGGTTATGATTCCAGGAGCTAGCATCATGCATGGATAGTTCTGGATGCTTCATTAGCGCCTCTACAATAGAGAGATTAGCATTTTGAATGGGAAAAACAAAATTAATATTCGCTTGTCTCCTATTTGCAGCCATACCTAAAGTCGATAGTACTACAACGCTTGGACAATTACCCCCTTTTTCCCAGCCAGCTGTAATTATTCCGCTCACATTCGTACTTGTCGTTCTTCTTGTGGCCATCCTCGTCCTCTCTTTATACTGCCGTCATCGAAAAATGGAGTCTGATTTCAATTCTTCTGCGGCGAATAAACCCGTGGTGGGTCGACCTATGCCGGTCATTGGCCATCCCCAGTCGTCAGCACACATTCAACAGATGCAGCATCCCGGAGCATATGGTGGAGGCGGCAGGCATCGTGGTACACTCCCACCAATACCGGTGAATGATTCTACTGAGAAGGGGTCAGAGTATCGGGAAAAAGGAGGATTCCTTGGGTGCGTGTGTTTGAAAGTTCTCTTAACGTAACTAGCACGTGTGGGAATTAAGGCAGCGGCAGGCCATATTGTTTGTAAGAAGAAAGGGCTATAACTGGGCAAAACTTTATTGAATCTAATGTAGCAATTATCAAGTTTGCTAAACCGTAGTAAGGAGGTCGGGGGGGGGGGGCTGCGAATCGATATTTGACAAAACAGTAGAATTTTGTTTACGTAGAATACATTTAGAAATGTGCGGTAATGGGAGAAGATGGGTTGGTTTGGAATATCTTTGATCTGGAAGACCAAAACCCGCAAACTATCTCTCAATAGCCACTCAACTGGTCTGTTCATTCCAGCTAAAATTAGCCACTTGAGCAGGTGTGAGGGCTTTCTAGGAGAGAAGGGTATGAGGACCTCATCAGGAACTTAAGTTAATCGCATGAATAATTATCTGTTGACCGAAAATATTGACCTTGTAGCCGATTACTACACTAGCAAGCCTTGACTATACTCAGAAATCTCTGTAGCAGATTTTCCTACGCTTGGAAAGACTGCCGGAATTAGCCAAGCTACCGCGAAGCTATAGAAGAAGCAGATGTATGACATGGAACACGTTTATTTAGTATGGCGTGGTATATTCTTGATGATGTGGAACTTAATCCATATATATGCACTTTCTGACATATTAATCACGTATTGACTTTGGCCATTGATTGGTCGAGAGGCTTCTGTTCTTGCCATGTTAGTCGTAGCGTTACCTACGACTTTAAAGGGAAAATTCGGGTCAGTTGTTTTCCTACTACAGGGTGTCCCAATAATTTATGCACGCTTAGAATAATTGTAAGCATAGAGCTTATTAATTATTTCATTATTTCAAATGTTTAGAAATATTTACAAGTATCATTTTATTGTTTTATTGTGTTTTAATGGCGATGATCCAGGCCGAAGAGTATTTAAAACAATGTATGGTAAAAGTAGATTTTTTGTCACGAAAGATTGTGTGGAGTGGCAAGGTCATATTCAAGTTCAATGGTTACATTAATCGCCATAGGTGTACCTATTTGGGACCTGAGAATCCTCACGTTACTGTTGTTTTGTTGAATATCCTCCCCGTCCACCAGACCTCACACCACTAGATTTTTACTTATGGGGATACTTAAATGACAAAGTCTACACTACAAAATCTGCAATAGTCACTGAATTAAGTGAGACTATTGAGCATGAATGCGTCCAATTCCCAAGGGAATTATTTCATGATGTGTGCGATTCCATTGCTTTGCGTTGTCAGCAGTGTCTGGTTCCAAATCGATGTCAGTCTGAGAACAAGGAGCGAAAAACAATAAAATTATACTTGTGAAATATTTTTAAATTCGAATTGAGCTCCACGGTCACAGCTAGTTTCAATGTGTATGCATTTTTTTGGGACACCCTGTATATACAGCTGCAAGTAGTATTTGAAGTAGCACTACTTCCTGTCGGTAAAGTCGGAATCTGGAAAATTTGGCTTAGAAACAACTCAAAATGATTTGCCTGGGAGCAACACCCACCCACCCCCCCCCCCTCTCTTTGGTTGTATCGCTGGTTGGTGTATTGGACAAGCGCGAGATGTGGCAGATTGTGTGGAGAGGTGTGTTTACAAAGGCAAAGAATAGCAGGCACAACTTTTAATTGCCTTAATTAAAGGGTATATTTCACCTCGAATAGAATTATCCACCGTATAGCGCAAATCGTAGGTACTGTGGCATTATATCTGGAGTTTGACTTTTTTGTGGTCTTTGATTTTTTGTGACATCATCTGGCAGATCATTGAGAAGTAGTCTATTGGAAAGGCGACTAAAATGGTGGAAGCTAGGAATTGCAGACAGAGGAGGGGGGGGGGGCTGAGGAGAAGTTGTCTGGAGCTCTAGGTGGAGATCGAAAGTAGAATTAGTATCGGTCGAGGTAATTAAATAATGGGAGAATGAGTCGGAATAGTAAATTAATTTATGCTTGCGCCTGACTTTTCTTTCAATTAAAAGATGTTCACTTTCCAACTCTTTTTGCAGGCGATGGGGTCGAAGTACCAGACTCTATGATCGTGGTAGAGCAGGGACAATTATGCCTCCTTCAGTCGTTCAACCGTCCACTGCCATTGAACCAGACCGACTATCCACCAATTCCATGGACAGTACTGGTATGTTGACTTAGAAGCTGTTTCGCTCTACTTCGGTAGTAGGCAGGGAACAAGATGCCAAGAAGTAGACTTCGACATTGTTACGCTAGTTTAAATTGTGGTAGCATATAACGTTAATCAAGTGGGCTGTTCAGTTGAAAGTTGACACGACTACATCAATTTAGAACACTTGTGCCTTAGGTATGAACTCAAAGGACAATTCTGGGTTGGAATAAAGGCATCTCTTTTGGCTACGTAGGACATGTGGGAGTTGTCATGCAGAGGACATCTTGGGTCCGTAGTAGTTGCTTTGGCATATGACAAATAGTGTGCTGTCAAAATATTTATTTATTTATATCAAATGGCAGGCGTTTTGATGGTTATCATTAACCCCTTCACAGAGGGGAAGAAACATCAAAGTGAGAAAAATTCGAGAGGGGGAACAGAAAAGTGGTTCCAGGTTGTAAAAGAGATGGAGAGACACAAAGGCAGAGAAAAGGTGAGGTGAGTATTGTGGAAGTAGTCGAATATGACATACAGTGGGGTGATGGTAGTTTGGAATGAGAAGTCAGCTGCGGGTTTATAGACTTCTTTTGCCGTATGAGTATACGTTGCCCAGGGTGTACCACGTGGAGGTAAGTTTATCGCGCACACCCCTTGTCAAAATATTAGTTTTCACAAGAAGCCGTAACTTTAGACGCGTGCACACACGTTGACGCCTTTCCACTACTTTCTTCATATCTCCATAGATGTCCATTATATGCCTTTCTGTTCTCAAATCTAGGTAATTTGAATCCCTATGCGACGTATGCCGCTGGAGGAATTCTTGAGGAGGAAGTTACTCAGCCAGTTGCATCGAAATCGTCTACCACCCTACAGCCTTCTTCTAGAAATCTCACAACTGGTAGAACTTTGGACTCTTCCGCGGGAACGTATGCCGCTACTGCCGGTGCCACGAGAATGTACAAAACTTTCAATAAAGGTATACTCGAATGGCTCAGTTGGTATCACTGGCTGATTTTATTGTATTGTTTTAAGTCTATAAATTATTCAATTAAATGCTTGAAACGGTTGGTGAAAATTT